TAAGAAACACTTATAAAATCAGTCAAAGTACCGTCTCCTTTTCTTATCACATCGTAGAACATAACGGTATGAGCGGATGCAAATCGATGGACAACAATCTATATAAAAAGTCCTGATAAATGCACCTATTTATTATTAACTACGGTTTCGTTTTAATTGTCCATCAATAACATTAATGAAGCGTAAACACTATTAGCTCAGTGGCGCCACCTTGTTTTTTAATTGGACAGTTTGTCGTAATCGCGATCTGCTTGAGCACTTTACTTTTTAATTGAACAGTTTGTGGTAATCCTAATCTGCTTGGGTACATATGTCCCATTCGTGTTTTTGCCATAAAGCAGCTGAGTTGGTATGGCTGTGTTTAGATTTGAAATATGGCGTAAAGAGTTAAATTTACAAGGTCTGGCATGACGTCTTAGTCCTTTGTTCGTCCGTTTTTCATCAGGTGGGTCATCAGCCTGATTGCCACTTTGAATCATAAAAACAGATAAATTTATTTATTTATTAATTATATATTTAATAAATTATAATTACATATATAAAATTTTTAATATATATTATCAGAGGGTGACTTTATACAAAAGTCATTTGTTTAGATACATTGGATTGTCCCATTCGTGTTTCTACCGTGAGACAGTTGTTTGCATAGATGTGTTTCGGTTTGAAAGATGGGATATAGTAATGAAATTACAGGGTACAGAGGCAAAATACCTTTGTGTTCAGGAATGGCAACGCATGAAAGATATGATGGGCAAAACAATAGAGTCTGTTATGTCTATGGTACTGTTCATGTGTATGGCGCTTTCCATGAGGTGGACCATCAGCTTTTTATCTAAGTTTCAAGAATCTAAGTTACTTTCTTAATATATATGTATACGAGTATGTATGTACACAATATATAATAATTAAAGATTGTTTAAAAATTTGACATGTTATTTTATTATATTATTATATTAAAAAAATATTTTTCATAACTTATGTAACGACTGTTGCACGTCAGTAATGTGTGAAACCATTATAAAACTACCATATTGTACTACATTTTTTGCAATAAAATTCATTCATTCATTCATTCATTGTGCCCCACAAAAAATCGCCTTCGATTCTGTCGAAACCAGTTATTTTCATTTAAAAACTAAACTACTAAACCGATGTTGATAAAATTTCTATGGGACCAAATTGTAAGTATATTCTTTTAGACAAACAAATAAATCAAACAGTTTAGAACTGATGGATTTATGTAGTAAGAAACATAAAAAAATACAACCTAATTGAGAAACTCCTTATTTTTGACGTCATTTAAAAATAATATATTAACACAACTATAAGTATTATGAGATGTAGCAACTATTAGGTAATTTGTAGCTAGATCTGATTTTGTTAACTCAATTCAGTAAATTTACCACTGGATCTAACATAGATGACGTTTAATTTCAATGTGAGATAATTTATAGTTTCAGGCTTATTAAGACAAAGCCAGCGTCAATCAATGTATAATTACAAATAGTTATTGCAAAAGTAAAAGGTGTGTTTGGACGTACATTTGGACGTGCGTCTAGTTAGGGGCGTTTTTAGATTGACGTGCTCTCTTTAGTTAGATTGCCTTAGAAAATATTTTAATAATATTAACATACTAGTACAGTGTTATATTCTCTACAGTATTATTAAATCTATTTAAAACATTAGCGTTTTGTCAACTTGTGTGATTTTTTTTTAATTGTACGTTACACTATATTTATTAGCATTGTTTATTGGTTTTAATTTATTTTAAATGCGAACAACAAAAAACATAAGTTCAAGCTAAGATAACCTACGATATGAGAAACCTGATATCAGAGATCTGAAAGCATAACTCAGAACAATAAAAGCCAATACAGAAAAGTTCGTGTCCTAAATCGAACCTAAAACCTTTTTAACGCAAATTAATGCACCTACCACTACATTATGAATCGCTGAATTAAATGAAATAAGATTCAATTGAAAAAAAAAAAAAGTGAATTTAATTTTAACAAAATTTTAAAATGTTATCTTTGTAAAAAGGAATTACAATAAGTTTCGTCGTCTTTTACGACACCCATAGGAATCTTTATTTGTTAAATTTTCTATAAGTATTTTCCACTATAGTTTCACTTTAGTATTTTCTAAAGTTATGTCTTATTATTTTTATTGTTATTTTCATATGTAAAACCATATTTATTTACCTGCACTGTTGCCCATCTTATAAGATTATTGTATTCTTTACTTACAAGTATACTTTAGTTAATAACAATCATAGATATTTATTAGTATTATTACTTTAAACATGATGATACAAATGAATTGGTTTGTTATAAGAAACAACAAGTTAATTTATTTGTAACATCCGCATGAATTTATAATTATTAAATTAATTTAATTAAAATGAAATGATAGTGATTACTTCAGTTACTTACATGAATAATGGCTTGTCATACTTTATATGGGCATCGTCTATAATGGGAGATCCATTACACTCTTTATAATAGCTATGTCAACCTGCAGAACATGATAAAACGAGTACAGTAAGATACAGTGTAATAAAAATACCCAACGAAAGCCTACAATGGAAAATAAATTCACGAAGAGTTCTTGCAATTTATCAGTACACATAGATTTTAATTGTGGATATAAGCACATGCATCATCATCATCAACATATCAACTGTTAGCTGTCTATTGCTGAACAGAGGGAGACTTTGTACAAAAGTCGATTGCTTGGGTACCTCTGTCCCATTCGTGTTTCAAACGTGAAGCAGTTGTGTTTGTATGGCTGTGTTTTGGTTTGAAGGGTGGGATATGGCGTGTATTTATTGGGTACAGAGGAATAATATCTGAGTCCTCAGGAATGGCAACGCATGGGGGGTATCATGGGCGAAACAGTATATTCTGTTATGTCCATGGTACTGCTCATGTCTATAGGCGATGGTTACCACTTTCCATCAGGTGGGCCGTCAGCTTGTTTGCCATTCTAAGTTGTATAAAAAAAACATAGGCCTTTTCTCTAGGCTACCATAAAGAACGATCCTGAGTCACCTGCATTAATTGTAATGTATTTGAGATTATCATTTTATCAAGTTGGGACTCATTCTACATTGGTTTTGCCTGTAGGGAGTTGTCACTCAATAGACACAATAGCTCATGCATATATGTGCATATTTTGTGATAGTGTGTGTGTCAGGCTTTTTTTTAATGAGGTGAAAATGGAATGGCAACTTTGTCTACGCTATTATTATGCATTGGATGCAGGATCCAGGATGAAGGAGTCAGGAGGATGAGGAGGCCAATCGTGAAATTGATAAATTCATCAGAAATTACCCGATATGATTTCCAGAGGTCGATTTGACTAGTGATTGCTAGCAATGGACAACCTTCCCCCAATGTGTACCATTACCAGGCTATTATATACATATATTATTGCAGTGTATATATATATAAGAAAAAGAAATACCCAAAAAGGGTTGACGTCAGGCAGGCGGCCGGTCGTAAAACTATAAGCCTAATCCTTGAGTAATATGGATAAAACCATATTACGCCGACAAATAATAATTGGGATAAAGGTAGGATATATACATATACATACATTATATATATATATATATATATATATATAATTAAATAATTTAATATAATTACTTAATTAATATATAAAAATAATTAATTTGAAATTATTATAATAATTAATATAATATAATGTACAGTAATTTGTTCGCCGTTTTGGTCCCGGCATAGAATAGGCCAGCCCTTCCTTTCCCGTGGGTGGCGTAATAGGCGATTAAGGAAGGGCGAGAGATGGGCAGCAGCGTCCCTCTTAAAACATCTCTAAAGCCTAGCTGCGGTTGTTAATGCACCTGTCAAGCATGGCAACTAGTGGCAAAACCCCCCAAGGGGGGGTTTTGCCACTAGTTGCATATATATATATATATATATATATATATATATATATATATATATATATATATATATATATATATTTCCCCTATGCAATTGACGAATATTTTATTTTCGAAGGACAAAATTAAAACACATGACATACGAGTTCGCCAATTATGAGTACTTTTAATTAAAATGTACGTAAGACAAACCACGGCATACTTATTAGTGCAGTCATAATAATATGTCTCGCTTTTTATATAAGTGCCTATAGAGCTTTCAGTAAAGGATTTTTTTTCCGCGGACAAATGTCCATCGTCTACGCAGCTCTTTAGAGTCCAGATGAAAGTGTTGGTTATATAGTAAAAATAAAAAGAAGTATCAATCGTAGTTCAAGAGCAAGGCAGCCTTCCCACGGTTTTGAACACCTGTGTCCTGTGAGTGGCCAGCGAGTGTATGAAACTCATTCAAACGATTCGTGTGCATCTATTTTAGGAATATGTAAAATTTATTTTTAAGAATATTGATGTATGTGTTATTAAAAAAATATGTATTAAAATGACTTTTTAATCGAAGGGTTTTAAAGGTAGTTTTTTGTGCAGTTAACGTGGAAGTTAACGTCAACAATCAATGATTTGATGGCGACTGTTTTATTCTATGTAGATGACATTATTAAAAATACACTTGTACATATGAATTTTGTTGTTACGAAGTATATGTAAACGATTTTATGCCAAGTCTTTGTAAACTATTTTGTATAACGTCTATCTATGATTCGCTTAGGTATAAGTATGGTTTTGCATATTCTCGAAGCAACTAATCAGTTGAACCAAAATTTTGAAATTACTGGATACAGAGCCATAACATCTTAATCTATAGGAATGGCAAGGCATGAAGGGTATCATGAGTTTCACAGTATATTTTGTTACGTCCACGGTACCGTTTATGTCTATAGGCGACAGTTACCACTTCCAGTCATATAGGCCGTCAGTTTGCTTGCCATTTTAAGTTGCATAAAAAAATTGGTAAAATAATACTCAGTTGTAATAAAACATTATTTTGTCATAAAAATATATTAACATTTTTTTTAAAACATATGCTCATTTTTCGTAGTACGAGATGAAATACTGTGATGCAAAGCACTCCATCTCTCCACCTGAAGAAGACTTCCGGATTTAGTCGAAACAATTGTTGGAATCGTCAAACATAGTAAGTTCATAAAATTTCCATTATACATATATATAGACATACATTAATACTATAAATGGTCAACATTATAATAGGATAGACTACGATTACAAAATGAAACCAAATAGCGTTATTGAATATTATTAATTGACGCACTGTATTTATTCGAACGTATAATGTCTCCAAGCAGCTTGTCCAAGCAATACCGCAGAATTAACTGCAATTATAAGAACAGTACGGCTAAGCTGAGCTGTCCAGCAACTCGGATAACGGTACCTCTCAGGGACGAGCAGCGGAAACTAATATGCGGTATGGTATAAGTGACAAGTGATATGATGCACTGGTGTGATTATTAGCAACTCTTGTTTTTTTTTATTGCAAATCTTCAGGAAGTTTTTTTTAATGAGTTAAAATTATATCCTGACCCTGCTTGCGCTATCGATACTGGCCCGACACCAGCGAAAGAAAATAGGTGAGGATGAGAGTAGGTCAGTTGGCACATTGTGACGAATTTAACAATTACTAACCATGGTAGTTTCCAGGGAGAACCGTGACTTGATAGTGCATTTTGCTAGCAAGGTGGCAGTTAGACTCCATTATTAACAATAAACAATATGTGGTTAAAGTGACTATGTGTCACTGTCTTAAATGATAGTAGATGTACTCACGACTTAGATTGTCGTCCTGCGATCTCGTTTTTTAGTTCAAATGTTCCAATTATGATTTTCGTATCGTTATTCAAATAAAAATTTATTGGAAAATAATGATTTAATTATAAAATAGTAACTAACAAGAGAGTCTTTTACACTAATGTTGTAAGCGTACTCTTAACGTTTTGTGGCTCTAACATAAGTTACCTATCTTTTTTATTATTGTTACCAACAAATAACAAGTCTGTCCTAATTACAAAATGTAAATGTGTTTATAAAAATAAGAACGTTTATTTTACAGTTACATTAAGATAAATGACAAAAAGAATATATCTCATAACTTAGACCACATCTATAAACCTGGAATAAAAACTAGATTTTGTCACGCACGCAATCATTAATGTTTCGAGCGGATGCGATGGCACTACTTACTTTTAATTGGTTCGCATCTCCTCTCTTTGCTTTCTGCAGATAATTTTAGTAATAAGCCATTATCGATCTGGAATGTATAGCTGCAGATAACACTCTAGAATTCAGTCGGATTAAAAAGCCCTGCATTAATTCCCTTCATAATGACATAGGCGTATTTGTGTAGATGCAATTTCCGTTTATGTTAAATCATAATCTATTTTTTCTTTGATAGATAATTTAGATAGGCGTATGGATTTTTAATTAAATTATTGCAGTGTTATTCGATTTGATACACACTTTAGAGCGTTTATAATTTTTGCTAACTGAACTGTAGCAACGTCGCAGTTATCTGTCAATTTAAAAAAACAATTAACCATTTTCATCAATGTTCTTGCCTGATTATTTAAAAAGTACTCTGTCAGCGAAATGCAACGTTAATCATAAAATATATTACATATAAAGCTGAAAATCAGTGTTTTGTTCCTTGAACAATGTTACACGCTGAGCTTCGACCTTTTTGTATTGCTGCAGATCACACATAATAACACAATTTTATAAATCTTATGTTGTTTAATGTATTATCTATTCTTATGTACATGTTGTGTGTGATTAGTAACAAACAAATAAACGATATATCTATCTATCTATCTATAAAAATTGGCACTTAATTCATATATGGCATTATAAACTTCAAATATATTTTTGCTATCTAAATCCAAATTTTTATTGGTAGTTTTATAAGCATTACATAATTAAAGTTTTTGTTTGTTAGTAGAGAATTTTTTAAATAATCTATCAAAAATGTTGAAAATTGTCACTGAAAATTTACAGACACTTGTATGTGGGTGCTCTTAAGATTTTTTAGACAACTTGGAGCGGCCAATAAGATAACGGTCCTCGTGATGGAGAATGGTAAACCTTATAAATATGAACAGCACCTAATCTATCATACAATATACCGGCACTAAGTATTTATGCCTTTGTGCTTTATTTTTTTCACTATCATGTTTTATCCTTCAAACCAAAATATTTTTTTATACCATGAAAGTGGCAAACAAGTATACGGGCGATTGCGTAATTGTGGCGAAGCGTGTGTGCTTGTGCGTGGGCGTGCGTGCGTGCGTGGATGCGTGCGTGCGTATGTGTAATTGAATCCATTTTAAAATTAAGCTACGTTAATCTCTGGTATTAATCTTTGTTTATTATACGGTGATTGTACATATATTTTCAAAGATATCAGATCGGAAGCTTACGCGTAGACGGAAACACCTAGAATTTTCCAGAGCATGTATCTTCGCCAACCACGAGGTTATCTTTTTATAGTCTTTTTCCTATTCCGGAAAAAACAATAACAGTTTGTTGTAATAATCTATTAGAAGGAAAAGATTAGTACTGATTATAATTATCAAATCAATATTTAGTCGGCATGCGAATATGGGAAGCGTTTAAACGACCAATTAAATTTGGTCTTCTACTCCCCGCGAATTTTTTGCGAAACAATTGAATAATAAGAGATTTTATATTTAATCTCAGGTCTTGATATATTGGTTTTATGTATTAGAGAATGATGAATGGTTAGCGTGACCTTTTGCTTTGAAATTATTTTGCCGGTGTGTAATTATTCGCGTAGGAAGTTCGAGATGCAGTTTTCTAATTAGAATTGTATTGGATTATGGATGATTTCATACTGTTTCTCTTTTATTGGAATCTAATTTGAAATAGATGAAGTAAATGATCATTAGAAATAGAAGTTGATTGCTGCCTTTTGCTCAACAGTGGAACACCAAATGTCATGAATTTAGAATGGCAAACAAGCTAACAGCCCACCTGATGGAAAGTGGTAACGGTTGGCTATAGGCGTGAACTGTACCATAGACATTTTAATAGTTATTTTATTAAACAAATTCTGTTTAATTCCGCTACCATTACTATGTGTGTGACTGCCAACAATCGAATATTGACCACGCTTATTACTACTACAAGTTCCAAAATCTTCTCTATTAGCCAGTAATTTCCGACTGCCATTTTGTTCACGCATGTTTTGCGACACGTGTTTCATCTTTAAACGAGGCATCATCAGGCAAATTATTACTCGATCTCATACGATTTTATAGATTTTCGTTTACTAATTAAACTGATGATTTTAATAATAATGCGAAATAATTATTTATTTATTTTGGACGATATTAATCTTCATTCGTACTGTACTGTATTAGCCGTTACCGTCCACTTCTGAACATAGCCTCTCTCATAGTATATGGGGTTTTGCCAATTGTCACCACGTTTAGCAATCGCAGTTTGGTTATATTTTAAGAGAGACGATGCTGCCCATTCCTCGACCATAGGTTACCTTAGTCGCCTTTTACGACACCCACGGGGAAAGAAGGGGTGGCCTATTCTAAGCCGAGACCTACAAGTCAAACAAAAGTTTATTAGTATCGAAGGAAAATGGTATGTTTGTAATAACAATTAGTTATAGGTACAGCTTAGCCAAGAAGGTAATTTTGAAATCTACTTGTTGAGATATTTTAATTAAATAATTGTACAAGCGTGCAAATTAGTTGAACTGTCAATAAATTATCCAACGGCCGTGATTTCTTGAGGCATAATGAATATTAACGAGATGTAAAAATGTATAGCAAGATACATTTTTTTTATATATACGTAAATATATTCAAATATAATAATGATATATGTCTTAATCGATATCGTGTTGACATATTAATGATAAGACGTGAATGTAGAAATAAAGGGACCTCAATTTTCACTATTTACTAATATGTTCGCTGTATGATCCTGGCATAGAATGGTTACCTCTTACCGTGGGCATCGTAAGAAGGAAGTTAATGATTGAAGGACGCGCCCGCATCTTGGTACGTCACCAGAAACCAAACTGCGGTTAATTTTTTTTTTATTTATTTATTAACAAACAAAAAATATACCATATAAATAACTTACAAAGTTATATTCCAAAAATCATAGGATAATAAAAAACATAGGCCTACCTTATAAAGAGATGGTTTTGCCTGTAGTTGCTACGCTTGACAGGCAGGTTGGCAACCGTAATAGGATTTTGGTGATATTTAAATAGGGATGCTGCTGCCGATTTCTTGACCATTAAATTCCTTAAGTCGCGTTAAGTTTCCTTAAGGGCGGCCCATTGCATGCCGAGACCATACAGTAATTTTTTTTATGATAACTATTTTTATTATATATATTCTTTATGACATTAAAACGTATAGAATACGTTAAGATTTTAATAACAATGTTAGCAAAGGCGAATTTATCTCTAAAAGAGATTTTTGTATTTATGAAAAAAGTATTTAGTATTTCAGTCCATATAGAATTGAAAGAAATAACATTGAAACTATTACGACATCAAATTTTATCGATTGGAAAAAGAATAATGAAAATCGATACAGAACTGTCGACGATATCGCGTGTAATGCACAAAAAAAAAGCAGTCAAATTACCACTTCCTCGTTTTTGAAGTCGATTGAAAAATAAGTCATTACACGTAGGTAACAAAAAGATAATCGCATGAATATAATCATCTATCTTGCTGCTATTAGATATGTATGTAATGCCGGCACAATTAATGCTATTATAGCGACCTTGAGGCTCGATTTCTATCATAGTAGCAAAGGCTTGCATTAATGACATGCAAATAGGTAACAATAATACCGCTTCCGTACCATTGAAAGTGTTAACACTGGAAAAGTGGCTGCGATTAGACAATTAACAGGAATACAATGGGCAGAATACTTGTGTAATGGATGTTGAAACATTTTTATGGTGTGTACATGGGTTTTATTTTTATGGCAAATAGCTACTGTCCGTTTATAGGTTGCCTGGAATGTAGTATACTTGTATCTGGGCACATTGAGAGGTATGGGATTCTATGAAAAACAAAGAAACAAAGCTACTAAATAAATTGCAGCTTATAATTTATTTATATTA